CAGATAATGTCTAGGAGTGGCTCATACCAACAGTGAGAAGATGAAGCCTGCTCCAATTAATCTACAGATTCAGTGTAAATTACAGCAGGACTTTTCAAGAGAAGGGGCGATCCTAAAATTTATGTTGATTCCTAAAAGGTCAAGAATAGCCAAGACAATTTCAGAGAAAATGGATAAAAGGGAAGATATTATAAAGCTTTAATAAAGGAAACAGCATTAGCTGCTGAGCCCAAAAGATAAAAAGAACAGAACAGAGAGTCATGAAAAAGATAAAAAAAAAATACAACAGAAGAGCCAGGATTTAGCTCAGTGGTGCTGGCCCCTGCCTTACAAGTGCAAGGTCCCAAGTTCCATATCCCAATTGGAATATGACAGAAATGGCAGCACAATAAATGAGAAGATAAATTATCGATTAAATAATAGATAGTTTTCAATATGACAAAAATTATACCTCTGCTTTACAGTACACAAAAAATGTCAGATCAGATCTAACTATGAAAGACAAAACTTTCCCAGTAAAAAAATGTAGCACACAGAAAAAAACCTTGAAAACTAAAATATACTAGAAAAGACAATCTCTAAGGGAAGTGAAAGTGAGAAGGGACAGAGAAGTAACTCATTCCATGCTCATCCGATAACCACACGCGACGCAGCCAGCTCTGCAGGTGTGCGAAGCAAGGACCCAGGGATGTCCAGTGGCAGGGCAGACCCACGACGGCCTTGGACAGAAATCGCACATCTGGACGTCGGCGCCCCACTGTCCTCACTCAGCTTCTGAAGACACAGATGCGAGACACCCTCAGACACGTCCGCAAGACCCTACCGAGGGGAATCACTGCAGCCCTTTCCGGACAGTGGAGGTAGAAGAGTGTCCATCAGTGGGAAACTTTAAACCTTGGAGCATCAGATGTTTAAACGATCCACTAGACCTGTAATAACCAACAAGTGCTCGCAACACATGCAAAAGAAATGCTGGGTGAAAAAAGTCACAAAACAGGTAAAGACAGACCCTATTACATGAAGCTTTCAACACAAAAGAAGCCTGCACACAGGAACGGGAACACACTGCGTTCCAATGCTGCAGGCTGCGTGGACTCCACCCGAGCTTAGCACGGCCACATGGACTCAATCCCGGGCTCAGTGAGGCTGTGTGCGCTCACCTCCACATTGATGCACATCTTCCTCGGGACTTCCCACTTGCTCAGGACACCATTTTCCGCTTTCAGCAACCCAATCTCAGACTGCAGCGCTAACTATGTGCTCAGTGCAAGTCTAGCCCCAGGGAGGACAGATGAGCTACGCCAGCCTGTTCCCCCCGCAGAGCAGCACAAACAGAGCCAGGGCAGCCCAAGTGCCTTGGCCCTCCACCCTCCCTCCGGCTCGAAGCGTCTCAACTTGGAAAATGCTCGACCTTCAGGGCTCAGATCCTTCATGTATCAAATGGGGATGCTGCCTCCTCCTACTGTGAAGAGTAAATCATACACACACACACACACACACACACACACACACACACACACACACACACCAGTCTCCAGAGAACACAGTCTTCCACTCAGCACCTCAGTCAGGTTGGCACACAGTCACGCCTCAGCTCACAAACGCTTCTGTCTGCAAACAATTCAGCTCACAAACAAAAGTGCTTGGCAGCTCCACATCCATCCTCCTCACACAAACTTAAATGTAGCCATCCCTGAAATTGTAAACCAAATTAAGTTCATAAAACGATATACCACTACAAGGAAATGGCAATGGAGGGGAAAAGGCACGGGCCAGCTCCATGCAGCCTTTCCGGCCAATATTCCTGCCTGGTTACAGCATCTCACTTATTCCTCCACACCATGGCCTGGACCTGCCCTGTGCATTCCCTTCAGCAACAGCGTGGTTGCAGACACAACGTCACTCCTTATAGTCACCATGGACAGCACTCTGAGAGAGATGCTCCCTGCTGCAGGAAGAGAATGCCCTTTCTTAAACCTCTTCGGAAATCACATTCCTAAACCAGTTCCTCAGGACACCACCTGTGAATCACTCCACCCACACACAGCTCCCAGCCATCTCCCTAAAAGACCCAGACACAGTTCTAGCCTAAGACATAGTAGGAGGGGCTGGGAAGGGCCTGCCTGCCAGAGGCAGAAGAAGTGCTTGGAAAGCATTCCTGGAGAGACTGGGCCGGTGGGTGTTACTCCTGGGCTTCTTTTCTAAGGGCTGGGACAGGATGGTGAGTATTTCAGTTCTCCAGCCAACCAGGTGCTGCCATATGGCAACAGCAAAAGCCATGTCACCCAGCTTTGAGATCCTATGATTCCTCATCAACTCTCAACTTTGAGAAATTAAAATATTTCCATTTTGTAGAATGAGAATGCAAATTTCAAATGAGAATTCATTCCTACTTTCTTCATTCATATCATAGCGTTTCAAATTTGCATGGTTCAAAGTTATTCCATGAAAAGCTCCTGGGGAATAAGCCAGACTCCATTTATCAAAGTCTGGGCAGCTTTATCTGGACCCTGCTGCTGCACATCAAAGAACCCATCAGGGCTTAGTGGGCCAACCAACCCATTCTCCACTAAGACCTCAGACCAAATCCTCCCTGTTAGTTTTCGGTACTGGTTTAGGTATAGCTACTTTGATTTGCATTCATAAAGAGGGTAGAAAATCATCAAGAAATCCCTTTTAGCTTGAGAACTAAAGTGATAAAATGATACTAATAAAATGAAAACACTTGCTTGGCAAAACCAAGCGAGATGACGTTATCCTGGGGCTAGTGTTCAGACTGCGAGGAGACCGGGACGTGGTGGTTCCTAACCTGGGCCCTGCTTTCCTTGTCCTAACAGGCGCCACACTTCAGAACAGTGTGGCATTTTCTGCAATTACCCTTCAGTGCAATATTAAAATTGGCCAAGGCTGACCGGGCAGTTTGTTTCCATGCCTTTGAGACAGAGAATGCACAAACACAATGGTTACTGGGAGGCCAAACTAGCCGATGGATTGTGGCTCCCTGTTAGGAATCCTTTGCTTCAAAGCTGCCCAGACAAATCCTCCAGAGCCGAGCCCCTGGGGCAGAGGAGGAGACAAGACACAGCCCAGGTCCCTGCTAGTTTAAATCACTGACTGTGGCCAGCACTGGATTCTTGAAAGTGAACAAACCTGGAGCCAGACAACTCCCCTCCTTGCACCCACACCTGGACAAATGAGACCCAGGTTGGGAGAGGTCCTGCTGTAGACACACACTCATGCAGGCACACACACAGCTCCCCGCTAGCTCTCCAGACCCTTCCAGGACCACCCAGCTCCTGGCCCCTAGGATGTCTCCCAGGTGGGACAGTCAGGTTAGCTGCTGGGGCCAGGCACACCAGGAACAACCAGGAAGATACCAGGTGCAGTACATAAAAAACTAAGTTCTCTTTTAGAAAGAGGATTCAGAATCCTACCTTTGAGTCACCCCATTTCCATCCTGGCCACAGATCCCTGGGGCTCTGCGCCTTCTACTTTTCAAGGTGCCCAGATGAATTTTCGTACCTATCTCAGCCTCTGAACCCACTGCCTCTAGAAGTCTGCAAACGGTTATTTCACTTGACAGACAGCAAGCTGAGGCAGGGAGCCCTCAGCCAGCCCAAACCTCCTCACCGAGTTTCCAGATGGTCGCGGCCAGGGGCAAGGCTGCGGGGAGCTGGGGACACGTCGCTGGCCCCTTGCAAGTCTGGGCGGAACCGGTGGGGGCGGGGTGGACCCACCGGGGTGGACCCACCCAAGAGACCTCGCCCCAGGATGTCACTCTCCACTTCAGCCGGGCTGT